ATTCAGCTTACCAACATAGTTATCTGGGTTCTTCTTTGAATAGAAGCCTTCCATGTCCAGCGAGTTCCCAATGTATTCATTCGGGAAGAGGTCACCCATGACCGCAGCCGGCAGCCCCAGACCGTGATTCGTGTCGACCCAATTCTCGTGAATCGCCGGGGCAGTTCCTGAGTAGGGGGAGCCTATAGCGGAAGACGAAGCACTTGCGATTGAAGGGCCAGAGGCGGTGGAAAGACCAGGCATGAAAGGTTCGGAATGTGAGATTGGGACTGAGGGTGGAGTGGCCGGCATCGGCGGGTAGCTGGTCACTTTATTGGTATCGGCATATGCATCGATCGACGGGGTATCATAATGAGATGACTGGGGCAGACGTGAGGAATTGGGATCTTGTCCGAAGCCACTCAGGTCCACGTGAAAGGTAAAGGGCTCGGTCAAAGCGGGATCCATGGTGAAATGCTGGAAGTATGGAGTCTGCTGCTGTCTCGACGATTCGAATGCCAACATTTCGCGTTCGATGTTATATTGTGGAGGAAAGAGGACAAAGTCAGGATGATCACTGTGGGCTTGCATGCCCGCTTTTGGTTCAAGGGTTGATTGTTGTCAATATGTGGGGATTGGAATGCGAGGGTTGAGATCGCTATTAGTGTTAATCGTCAGCCACCATTACAATTCCGCTCTTCGCTGAAGGGAGACTTCGCAAGCGATGGATTGAGTTTCAGAGGAACGGGCCGCACGGGAAAACATACAATCTTTCCAACGGGCCAACAATAGATAGGTCTCAAGGGTCTGCTGAGGAGTTCCAAGAGATTGTGTAGTATCAATCCAGGAGAGGGAACAGTCGTGATGTGAGGCAATGGCTCCGGAAGCAGAGGATCGTGTCGGTTTGGATAGGCACGGCAATGCTTTGCAACTTCCCGATTGGGACAGACAATGGAGCAGTAAAATAGACAATGATATACAAGAAGATGAAAGCAGTCGACCCGAGTCAGGCAAGGAATCAAGGCCCTTGCTTCCCAAAGTAAGTGAGGATGACGAAGGACGATGGAGAGGACGAGATGCTTTTGTAGCACACTCTCGAGAAATTCAACCAGAAGGTTCCCGTACTGAGAGGGGAATGAGAGGCCTGCAGAACAAAAGAAGGACGGAGAGAGGGGAGCAAAAGCATTGTTAAATGTTATGTGATTGCTGGCCCTATGAACCATCTAGGATTCGCAAGTGGATTGGACTAGACCAGGATTGACTAACTACGAGCGAACTAAACTAAACAACGCTAAAGAAACCCATCCAGACTACTGGAGGTGGAACGCGCAGCAGAAAGACAGGGGAGTCAAGGTGTGGGTGCGTGTGGGCGGATGATGTCGATGATGATGGTGGTTGAAATGTGGGGCGCCAGAAGAACTAAAATAAAATAAAATAAAATAAAATATGTAATAATACAGAAATAAATTAAAAAAAGGAAAAAGAAAAAGAAACAGGGGAGACTAGTGGAGATGTCCGACCAGCAGGGGCAGGCAGTGATCAGGGCCGCCTTTAGCATCGTATTCTTAGCACTGCATCTTACTTACCCATGGCACGCTACTATTCTTACCATACCGCTAACCCTGCATTACTGCACAGCCAGGCAGTTCTCCATCTTAGCGATCGACTGTGTTGACCTCTTTTCCGCTTTTTTTTTTTTTTTTTTTTTTTTTTTTTTTTTTTTTTTTTTTTTATTTTCTATTTTCTATTTATTTTTATGAACTCATATTTTATTTATTTCCTTTTATTTTTTTTCATTTCATTTTCATTTGTTTATTTTTCGACTCGACCTTTTTCATTTCGTTTCATGTACCCTCCTTTGGCCCTTAGTGCACCTACCAGGGACATTTCTTCTCTATCTGTCTGTTGAGAGATATTTCGAAAGCAGAAGATTTCAAGGTCCACAACTTCTATTTAAAATGTACACTGGAGTAAGGAGTTTGCAGAAAGTATTGCACTGGAGGAAAAGCAATTCGTCATGAGGACCCGTCGTAGCAACAGCAGTAGTACTCCGGAGTAGCAGTCGAGGAAAAACTCATAGCCCATCTCCCCAAAATCCAAGGGATCCACTTGTACTCAACCAATGCATTTGTCCGACCGACGACAAGGTTCAACCCCATCAGTAATACAATTCTTCCTCTCGAGGATTCCGCCCTATGAGAGCTTCTCGTAAGGGTTCCTGCATTGTATTTCGCGAGCACATGATAGAGGGAAGACGTTCAATTGTCACCATTCCTGCCAGTTCCGGACGGCTTTTTGCCTCCCTTTCGATCCTTTGTAAGCATTTACTCGCAGGACCACCTTAGGGGGAAGCACTGACGGCTCCTTCATGGCACCCCATTTCCATCCCTACCATGCGTGCTAAAATTCCTGGGGTCTGGGACCCAGTCGGAGACACCGTCTGTACATCCAGAGGTACATTCCTGACACATGTGTCATCGGCAAGTCCGTAGCACACAGACCATGGTTGACTTGGCGTGCTCGGTAGCCTATTTGGAACCTTGACAATTACTCAAAACAGCTGATGGTGGGTTCATCAATATTACCCTTCTGATAAGATGGTGGCAAATCTCTTCTCTCTTCATTTCCTGGAGAAAGAAAAGAGAAGGGGGGAAAGGAAGAGGGAGACGGAAAGTAAGCGGCGATGGAGTTCCGTGCTAAGACATCGATTTGAAATGGACAACACCTAGTCTTTCCGTTTTCACTTAGCATGAAGCTCATCAACCCCAGTTTTTAATATCCAAATTCAATAGTCAATGCAGAAGAGTCCACTCCTGTCACAATTGTGAAGATCGAAAGTCAATTATCGGCTGGTGCTTGACAGAAAACCGACAATCAGAAGAGAATGACAGTACAAGCTTCTTTCAGGTGCTATCACTTGGCCCGTCCAAACTGATCTACTAGACAGGAGTAGTAACAAAATCATTTTCCCAGTCGGACGCTCCTTGACCCCGTCTGTCCCGTCAACTCGGTTCAGTCAGATCGTCTGCAAACACCCCCCAAGAGCGACATTCAAATTTACCTAACTCGGACCAAGTTAAACAATTGGATCTGGGCCTGCGGCCGCCAACTCCGAACACTATCGCCGAAACACGACGATCTTGCCTTGTTTGAGGGCACGATGCCCACCCCTTTCGAGAAACGTGCATTTTTCTGAAGTTCCCACGGGAATGATTGGCCCTGGGTCCTTGACCTGCAAATGAAGCGTCATCGGACTATCGAGGCCACTGTACCAATCACGGGCCGTAGATGGTCCCAGACGGGAAGAGGATTCTCATTTAGGGCCGCCCGACATCAGGAGCCCGGACAATCACTCTGCCCAATTTAGAGAAATAAACAAACTGACGGCTTGTTGAATAAATTATGCGGAGCCGCACATCGCCCATATCCCCGGTAATAGGGAAATTATACGGATGTTATTATTATTATTATTATTATTATTATCTTTGATAAGAGTCCCCCTTGTGTCTTCAAGGGTGTCTCTTACCTCATCACCTAATTACCTTTTCCGGAAGGACTCTCGCGGATGGATCCATTGTCAATACCTCGCCCACCTGATAGGTAATCCATGGTATTGCATCCAGGCTATGCGATTCTGCCACTGAGCAGCAAGGAAACTCACAATCTCCCAATCTTAGAACAATGATGTCAATCATATCATGACGTTGGGACAATTTCAACAAAGGAATCTTCAACTCCCAGCAAACTGCTGTGGCTCATGCAGTGGCTGAGCCTGCTTTTCCGGTATCGACAAGTTAACCTTTACGATACCCGACGGTAGGGCCGAGGAAGCGATGGGCCGAATCGTGTTTGTTTTGCTGGACCCAGCAAACCAAAGACCCGAGAAAGTATAAAAAAAAAAAGAAATTCAAAAATGAAATAAAAAAGACAAGGCGGGGAACAACAAAACCCACGGAAGAGGTCGCCCGTGTCGATCGACCCCGATTTATATTATTGATTTTCACAGATTTTTACGTTGGGGAAATGCTAGTTATCCTTAATTCCGATGGAACGGAAGATTTGGCGGTCGGAGAGCGCAACCTGACCGATCTTTAGTTTTTCATCTCCTCTGTACGAAAATCACTGCAACGCAATGCCCAGACACCGTCAGACTCTGCACACCATATGCGATGTACGATGTATATACTAACCAGGCTGGCTAGCCTGTTACACATGACGGCCACGGGCTCCTACCAGACGTCACACTAGACAAGGGCCCATCAGCTACGCCTAGTAAGGCCCGAGGCCTCAGCAACAACAATGACGCCGAAGGGCTCCATACAGACTCTGCAGCTCACGACCTGTCGGTGAGCAAAAGCCACCACAGCAGACACTAGCGCCACAAAATCCGAGGAAGCCACAACCAATAGCCTATCGCGTGTCATCGCGCGGATCTTCCCGCACATCCATTGGAAGATCTCCATACGCTAAGATGGATTGAGGCGCAGCACACACCGCTTCCTCTGCCCAGCACCCAAATTTTCTTCCGTGCCCCGGCCTAGGGCTATACACTAGCACAGTAGTAGGAGGTGGCTATTGCTCCGTCGCTTTCCCCATGCCATCATCGATGCAGCATTGTTTATGTCATAACGCCAAATGGAGGGGCTCCGCATGCCAACAACGCGATCAGGAACCAATGAACCGGGCCTCGTGGTTCGCCGACAACGAGGCTCACCGATTTTTCCATCTGGCTTCCGGAACATTGTCCCCCATGCTTTGCCAAGGCTGGGTTATGTGCGGTGGGGTATCTACGATGACGGATGCGAGGTGTGCAGCATGGGACGTGTTCTAGAAAAATCGAGCGGTGGGTTATTCGCTGGGTATGTTTCGTGGCGCGTTTCTAGCGTCGTACGATATGATATGTCATTGTTTAGCGTGGTTTCATCTATAGGGTAGGATTGGATGGTTTTATTTTGTCTTGGGTTGTCGGAGGTAATAAGTTGCGAGTGTGTATTATTTTATTTATCGACTCCTAACTCAAAATACCCTATCAAACACCTAGCGTAGTATATACACTAAAACAACCGTGGGAATGGTGATTGGCAACGACACAGTATATATACATATACATATATATATATATATATATATAAAATAAATGCGGTATGCTTCGCGCCCCGCAACTAGTAAATGCGAGTAAACCTATGTACAAGGTCCTACCCAGGCAAGGAAAATAAACATCTTACCTAGACGAGACCAAAAAACCGTCCCATCTGCACAAGGATAATTTTTCCTCGCCTTAGTTCGCCCACCACTCGAGGCCATGACACAGCGAGTGCTTATGCAGACCAATCACGTTCGACCGGGAGAATAAAATTCAAGCATAGTGACCTGTCATGTCCGCTCGCCTCGAGATGGCTCTGCCTCTACACGTAATACAAGGACGCACACCCAGCTGCCTCGAGACACACACACGTGGCAGGGCAACCAGAGAAATAAAGTTCGAGGAAATAACCCAAGGGAAATAAAAAAAAAATAAAATAAAATAAAAAGAGGGAAGAGAGGGATACGGAGATACCATGCAACCTAAATGATCCAGACTGGACGGATTTCATCTCTCGTCATCCAGTCTAGGTAAAAATTAAGGATTCGAAACAACCTTAGTAGTAGTAGTAGGTGCTACCTAAATGATAAGCATAAGCAATTTAGATTTAGGTACGGTACTCTTCCTTCCCCAGTCCCGGAAAGCCAATCCCCGGAGTCAACGGAACAATGGGGGCGGAAATACGATGGCGTAACGGCGTCCAGTGGTATTCACGTTCCATGGGTGGGCTGCGACTGGATGGGGCGGGGGTGTATCGCGGTTATTTCTCTCTTTTTGGGTCATGGTTTATTTTTTTGTTTCGACCTGTTGGTTTTTCCATGGTTGGCTCCTGGTTGACTTGCTGGATGGTTTTGGACAGGGAGTGAGTGACGGACGGTTACCTGTGGAATGGGTGGACTAAGCCCTACGAAAGTTTGTTGAGGGGGGGG